AATGCTTCGTTCAAGGCCAGACTTGTGTCGTTCTATTGGTGTACTAAGTAGATTTCAAAGTTGTGCAAGTGAACATTTGTGGATTGCCATAAAACCTGTGCTTAGGTATATTCAAGGGACTCTTGATTTAAGACTAGTCTTTGATACTTCTTTAAATTATGCTAGTGGTATTGAAGGGTATGCCGATACAGATTGGGCAGCAGATAGCATAGGTCGAAGATCAACCTCAGGTTATATATTGAAATTATACGGATGTACCATTTGTTGGTCTACAAGAAAACAGCCATCAGTAGCTTTATCTTCGATTGAGGCAGAATATGTTGCCTTGAGTTATGCTGTCAGTGAAGCTTGTTGGCTTAAATTTGTATTAAGTGATTTAATTGTTGTACAAGAGTGGAGTATAATATTTATGAAGATAACCAGCCAACTATTAAGTATGTAAGAATCCAGAATTTCACAAATGTTTAAAACATGTAGATCTAAAATATCACTTTGTGAGAGACAAGATTAAAGGGCACAATGTCCAGGGTGATTCACAACCTGATGTACGCAGAGCAGGGGCGTGCAGGGGACCTCAAAACAAATCGATATATATATATATATATATATGAGGGCCAAGAGAGCCACCGAAAGACAGAAACTTTACAATTCCCTTGAGAGTTTGGTTAGTGGCAAAGACATTAATAAATAGACCATGCTAGTCATTCACAAATCCCGATTTAAATTCCATCGATCGCTGATTTATCAATGAAAAACACGTGATAGGAATAAAGTAGGTACAAAGAGTAGAATTAATCGGAAAATCAACTGGCTTGGCTGCTAGCCATAGGCGGAGTAAAAATCTGTATTATCGATTTATTCTAAGCATGAAAGATTCATTCATTTTCTGACCTTTATCTCTACATTATATGATTGAAATTATAAACGCTATAATCGTAACGCAAATTTTTTAAGCATTAGATAGCTATTCAATAGGGATCGAATATGGCTCTAAGTTTATAAATTCAAAACAACTCACGCCACTGGTCCCTGTTTACAATCGTGCAAAGCAGTACAGGTTAGGAAAATTCAGGCCGATTTTCCTGCAAAGAAAACCACTTTTCATAATTTCTTTTAAGCGTAACAGTTTATTAATATCACGATTATCACTTATTATTACCAAAAACATGAGAAATTGCCGTATTTACTTGTCCAACAAATCGTATTCCCCTCTTACTATCATGTCATAATCACGTAATCCCCCCTTTGCGGTGTTGTCATGATAAATGTTTCATTATGTTTCCTGGTAATTACCACCAAAAATTGTTATGAATTTTTTAATATAAAATTTCGACCCTTTTATTTTAATGACATTTGCTTGTCGCTTATTACAAACTAAATAAATATATTAATGGCTCCGTTTTCCTGCTATTTTCTTGTTGATGCCACTCATATATATCAAATTGTATACCGAGCCGACAAAGCAGACTCGTAAGTACCTACTTTTATATAGACTGTGAACCAATGTTGCTCCCATAGAAAAACGTAAACAAATGCTTCTGTTGAATCTGAGGTTAGGGGTGACATCGTTTCACAGCCTGGGTGCAGCTCAAACAACTCAACGTTACAAGTGCAACAAGTAAACCAATCACTAAATCCTAATGTCAATGACAATAGTGAGTTTTTATGCCATAATTCGGATACTGATTCCATAGCAGACGACCATGAATTTGAAGGTTATCCTATTTATGATAGTTTTACCAGTAGTAGTAGTAAAAACTCATTTCAAATAAAGTTGGCAGAATGGGCAATGAAGCATAACATAGCCCATACTGCTTTAAATGACTTAATAAAACTAGTACAACCTATTTGTTAAGAGTTGGTTTTTAATGAAAGAACCTTGCTTCAAACAGGTCAGTTTAACTAAAACCAGTGATGCCCGGACACTATTATTATTTTGGGCTAAATAAGAACCTCAACAGTATTTTTAACAGTTTAGGCCGAAAATCAATTACCTAACGCCTTGAATAATTCAGTAGGTCTTCTTATAAATACTGACGTATTGTCATTTGCTAAAAGTTTATCTAGTCAGGTCAATTGAAATGATCAATAAGGGTTTCTTGTATCCAAATCAACATTTTGCAGAATATATCAAAGCTATTATTTCTGACGCCCCTGCAAAATCATATGTAAAATATATTTAGTTCCCGGGCTATTGATTGATCATATTTTTGCCACTTTTCGCAACATACATTTATTTTGTATGATGCATTGTTGTAGAGTCAGGCTACAGCTAATGTCCTCTACAATCTGAATTGGCATTATTTGGACACAAAAAATAGAAAAATTTTCCTTATGATGCTGACGCAATGTCAGCAAATTGCAGTGATCTCCATTGGACCGTTTGGGCCAATGTCAATCAATTCAGTTATATCTGTAAGTACCTTAATTTTCAAAATCCTAGTTTTTTAAACTCCGAATTTTCAGGTTATCAAAGCTGCATACTCTTACATGATGGTGATGCAGTCATACAAATAGTTGAATACATTTAAGCTTAAGCATCTAGTAAAAGTTGTTTTCGAATAAGTATGACCACATGCTTAACGGTAATATGCCAGAACATAAAGCGCCCTAATTTTTTTGTTGTAATGCAATAAATGATTGGAAGATATCATCAAGACACCAACAAGCATTATTTTCTTTTCTTAAGTTATCTCTTTGATTCTCTATTAGTTTCATATTTGGTCATATTGTTTCATTACTCACAATGTCTGATTTGGAAATTCGAAAATTAAGATCTTATAAATTTCCAAATTTGTCAAGATTCCTTGTTGCACTTTTTTTTATGGTCATTTTTCGTTGCATTTGAAGAACGTCAAATGAACGAGTAGAGCGATTTTAAGATTATATAAAAATATATTAATGTATTGAAAATACTTATAAATAGTTAGTAAAATAAATTTTAAATGTACACAATACACTAACTAGATTAATTCAACAACAAAAACAGAAATAGCAGATTCTCTAGAAGAAAGTGATACACAATTAATAGTGCAGGAACCACAAATATAATAAATTCAAAAGATAAGTTAGTAATAAATGATTTATTTTCTCCAATCTCCTTGAGCCCCGACAGAGTTAGGACCTATCCTATAATCCTTCAACTTCAAAAATACGTACAATTCCAAATAAATTAACAAAGCACGCCGCTCGTACTTGTATAAATTATGTAAAACGCAATATGTAGTTTGTTTTTTGCAAACGTTCCATTTCTTAATATTTGTAGCAGTGGCCGTTACTAGTCGAAACTCTTCGGTTTTGGGACACAAAGTGAAAAACCGTGCTGTTTCTGCAGCATCTTATATTAAATTAATGTTGAGGCGAAAAGCCTTAGAAATATTGTACGAACTTTCAATTAGGAAAATAGCATTTCAGTTGGAATGCCAAAATGAATGTGAGGTAACCTAGAAATCTTGATTTCAGCGGTTTCATAATTCGTAGTAAAAAAATATTTTATTTCATCAGCTCCCTCAAACTCTCAACTCTCAGATAATTTCGGATTCGTAAAATTTTTCCTATCCTTCTAGTTTGTCTATTTTTTCCACATTTCAGTGCCAAACGTTTTGTTGCTCATTTTTCGTGAAATGGGCGCAAAATTCCAAATTTTAAACGAAAACCAGCTTTAGTAAAAAGGACGAGGAGAAAACGATTTAAAATTTAGCTTTTTAGTTATTCTTGGACTGAACATGTTTAGTGACAGTTATTTCCGTTAAGCTATAATTCAAAATAATAGAAGCGAAAGTCTTAATTTCAGTGTTATTTTAATGAAAACCCACTAAATTAAAACTTAACTTTTGTTTAAGCAATAAGCAACTGGTTTTATTCAGGACGCATCGTCCCAGATTCAAGAAAAACATTGACTGGGTAAGAAACTTGGATAAAACCAGCACATTCGCACTTGAGGCTCAATGTGTTTCCGTGCAAAGTAATAGTCTGCGTTTATTTCTGTGTCTGTGAAGTTTTGGTTAAAAATTAATTAGATGGTTTTCTATTTTTGTGCATTTTTTCTATTTTCATCGGAAATGTAACATGCCAATAGAGTAAATGCTACTGGGGGCAGAAACCCAACAATTAATATTCTTGACTATTTGCCATACATAAAATAAAACTAAAACATGATTCAACCTGATTTACCATCCAGATATTTGATAAACATTTAAAAAGCATTCGTTCTTTAAACACTAAGGCCGATTTGCACCAAGGAATCTTAAACTAGTTTAACGTCTGAAACTCAGTTTCACGATTGTTTGAATGACGATGATGTTTGATGTTGACAGATTTTGGGCGTTTATAGCTTTAAACGACGTTTAAAGACTTGATCTAACCTCATTGTCTAAAGAATTGTTGTTGTTGTTGTCGGTCGATCGAAAAATAATAAAATTGAAATGGCACGCAGGCCAGTTTGTAGCTTAATTTTCAAAGAAGTCGACGAATATTTTATTGTTACTTATGTACTTTGTCTGTCCTGTCTGTAATTGCGTCGCCGATAAGAAAACTTTTTGGTGCTTTGCGGTTTATGACACAGAATGCATGCAAAGTTCGTCTGGAGATTTTAAGGGTTTCAGCACGACTACATCACATCCAACTGTTCATAGGGTGAGCTCCGCGGGTAGTGCGGGTATTCTAGCGTTCTGGGTTTTGTGAGATTCCAGCCAAGCGGTTTACTCAGTAAAATCCTTTCTGACTCCTCCGCTTGCCTTGTTTATTGAATTAATTTTATAAGCGAATCTGGAAGGCGATCTGAAAGGACGCCCATACAGATCGAAGGTTAATTTTCTACTTGTTTAAGTAACTTTTCAAATAGAAAATCTAATAAAAACGTGTATGCCATAGCCATAAGCCATACACGAATGCGCAAACCGTGCATAAACAAAGCATTTAAATAAACGCAGTTTAAAATAAAACTTTAAAATAAACGCAGTGAAAAAGGTTCGTCGTTAAGCGCGTTTAATTTCGGCGTTTAACATAAGCTTATTTTCGTTAAACTGGGTTTCGCTTGTTTCTGGTGAAAAGCGGCCTCAGGCTCTAGTCATTAACGTTAAGCGATATGGAGCAATTACAACTTGCGAAAATTATTGTTTTCTAACCTCGATTGACACCAGTAACAAGAGAAACTTTTCATTTGAGCTTTTACTCTTGTAGGATTAGAAAATAAATAATATTATGTTTTTTTCTCGTTTCTCAAGCACGAGTGGCTTATATCAACAATCATGGATTATTTTGTAAGAGATGCGCTATTAAAGCTTTTTGAGGTTTTACAGCGTCGTTTTATTACTTAACCAATATTTTCACGAAGCAAACTCACGCTTTCTGGGCGTTAATTTTCAATTCACGTTATTATAAAACTTTGAAGCCTAGAAAGTTGTATGTAATCAAAGAAAAAAAAGGTTAGTATAAAATAATCCCCAAAATTGTTAAATTATACTTATAATAATCAACAATTTGAAACTAATTCAAATGAATTTGAAGATATTTTTGATCGAACGCAAATTCTTCTTCTCACAATCGAAAAAGTAGGAGATCTGTGGACAGAGTGTACTCCGTTTTATTAATTTTATATAACTATGCTTCATCCCCAGTAGCAGCGAATTTTGTAA